CTATTGGTGGGGAGCAACACCTGCTGGAAACCGGGTCCAGCGTCCCTTAGATACATCTTTATACACAGTACGTTTTAAAGGAGACGCCTTTGCGCTGGTAGCGGGGTCCAGCCTCCCATCCAATCCACTATACGAGAACTATCTTGCAGCAGGCTCGGCTATTGGGGGGGGGCCCACTGGGGGGCACCAGTGGAGCCTCCTCCAACCGCAGCCCCTGCCATCCACCTACCCTCTTTATATTTGAAACTATCTGAAACGGCTGGGATAGACAGTACATTGCCAATGCTGGAAACCGGGTCCAGCGTCCCATATTGATGCTGTTCATCCGACCAATCGGGTGCCTCTTTGTATTTGGAACTATCAGAAATGCTGAGACAGACAGTACATTGCCAATGCTGGAAACCAGGTCCAGCGTCCCATTATCAGTGCTGTTCATCCAACCAATCCTGCAGTGTATCCGTCTGCTGCGTTCCCTCTGCTGACCATTAGACTGAACTTGTAACCGGCCAGCGTCCCATATTGATGCTGTTCATCCGACCAATCTGGCGCCTCTTTGTATTTGGAACTATCAGAATTGCTGAGACAGACAGTACATTGCCAATGCTGGAAACCACGTCCAGCGTCCCATTATCAGTGCTGTTCGACTCTCCGATTTCCCGGATTTTGGGTCATCGCTGCACTAAGGGTCTCGCCGGACGGTGCAAAAAACGAAATGAAACGACCTTGAAACTCGCGAGGCCTCGCGAGGCCGAAAATCACCGTTTCGTTTCGTTTGTTACACCACCGCCGCACAGCACACGGGAAATCGCTCGCGGAAAGGGCTCGACGACTGTTGAGGTGCCTGACTTCCGCAAATGCCCATTTTTTTTTGGACGGACATCCCTTGGACCGACGTGCTGCATCCCTTGGACGGACATGCTGCACTCGCGTGGATTCGCAGCTCCACCAGCAAACCTTTAGAGGACCTACGAATCTGCGCTATTTACAGGCGGGGACGGCAGAGGCTCATGCTTACACTCGCGAACTTGAACTCTGTCATCAATAGCGAGTTTTCTCTGACAGGATCCACGAGGGTGCTGTGCGGCGAAACTTTCACGAAACGAAGTAGTTTTTTTTTTCGTGCAGTGTGCCGTCCGGCGAGCCCCTAACTCTACAAACTCAGGGCCTCGCCACACCACTCCTGAGAAAGAGTTTTCAAGAGTTACGGTGCCGCCACACCGCCTCTTGAGAGGTTGTATCGGAAAAAAACTTCAAGCACTGTCAGAACGCGCGGGTTCAAGAGTCGCGCTTGAGGAACCCGAAATCCCCGCCTGCAACACTCTATATGTCAAGCGTCCTCGGCCAGGTGGCGACGGAAGCTTGATTCTCAAGAGCTGTCAGGTCTTCAATTCTGATAGCGGTCAGTGATTTCGGCCTCCGCTTTCAAGAGTCTACTCTTGTGATTTTGGCCACCGCCGGTTAGCAATTCTCAAGAGTAGGCCTCCTCGCCACACACAACTCTTGAAAGTCCTCCAGCTGTCGGGGCCCTTTCTCAAGAGTCCATTTGTCGAGAGGTCTGTGTGGCGAAGAGCCCGAAACTCTTGAAACACGGACTCTTGAGAAAATCTGACAACTCTTGAGACATTTCCTGTTTTCAAGAGTGGTGTGGCAAGGCCCTCAGACTCTACAACTGTCAAGGGCACAAAAGGACAGACTCAAGGTTCTCTTGAAGTCCCCGTTTGTCTGCCCAGACTCAAGGTTCACTCTCCAGGGGCAAGGTCCCACTTGCTCAAATTAGGAGATTTGGGCCGTTGATCTTTGCTATCTACTGTCAGTATCTCGTAATTCGTGCAAGTGGGACCTAGCCCCAGATTTGGAGCAAATCGGTGGTTCCTTCGAAGGTCTCGACCCCTAGCGGATTTTGCAGGCTGGGCACTCTCCTACGGGGGAGAGTGCAATTCTTTTGTGGTTTCTGACAGCTCTCCGAATTTCTTTTGGGGTTCTATAGGAGAGTTCGTGCAGCGAGGCTCCTACTACGTGCCCCGTCCGAACAGGCGCCGCAGAAACTTCAAGGCTCTGACAGCGCTCGGATGGAAAAGACGGGGAAAAAGCAGAGTCTCGACAAGGTTTGATGCACGTGGACAAATACCCCGCCAATACCCACCGGGGTGAGCAAGCCAACTATCTCAATTGGTTGGCACCAAGCGTGCTCAAGCAGTCACTGCAGATTGAACCCATGACCAGCTCAAATGGTTCTCTCACGCAGTAGTGGAAACTGAATCCGTGAATGGTGCTCAGTTGGTTATGCATGCTTTCGGTATTTGGTACACCGACAAACTGTTCAAATACAGACCCCGGGTTCAAATCCAGATACAATCAATACAATCTTTCAAATGACCAGAATTATCATGGCCCCTGCGCAAGGATGACACTCATAAATCGGGAAAGAGACATAGGGCTGCCACATGGAAAAATACATTGTGCCACCCCACGACCGTTCAATCGGAGGTTGGGACGAACTCCGCTGCCGTTGTTTTTCCTCTCTCGACTGCCGTGATGGTGGGACAGTGCCGCAGGCCATTCGAGGGTTGTCGGACGGGCAGGGGTGTCGAGGGCGGACACTGTCGCCGACAGGCGGTAAGGAGTGGGGAGGAGGGGGGGCTGTGACACGAGGAGGAGAAACGAGTGGGAAAGAGGAGGACGACGACGACCACGGGGGCACGAGGAGGAGCAAGGAGTGGGAGGGAGGAGGCCAACGACGACTAGGGAAATGTGAGGAGGGAGGAAGAGGGAGTACGACGATGGACGGGCATTCTTTTAAGCTAAGGAGGCCGACAACGACTATGGGGAGAGGAGGATGTGGGTCGCGGAGGGAGGAGGAGGGACGATTCGGAGGAAAGGGAGGAGGACGACGACCCTGGATGGAGCAGGAGGGAAGTCCTTTTAAGGTAAGGAGGCCAACGACGTGTATGCGCGGAGGAGGATGGAGGATGGAGACCGAGGAGGGAGGAAGAGAGGAGGAAGAGGGAGGAGGAGGACGACCATGAATGGACCAGGAGGTTCAATTAAGGAAAGAAGGCCGACGACGACTATGGGCGGAGGAGGATGGAGGATGGAGGATGGAGGCCGAGGAGGGATCAGGAGGGAGATTATCTTAAGGTAGGAGAGAGGAAGAGAGGAGGAAGGGGGAGGAGGAGGACGACCATGGATGGACCAGGAGGTTCAATTATGGAAAGGAGGCCGGCGACGACTATGGGGGGAGGAGGATGGAGGATGGAAGCCGAGGAGGGAGGAGGACCATGGAATGGCATGGATGGAGCAGGAGGGAGATTCTTTTAAGGTAAGGACGCCGACGACAACCATGAGGAGAGGAGGATGTAGGCGGAGGAGGGAGGAGAAGGGAGGAAGAGCGAGGAGGACGACCAAGGTATGCGAATTCCGTTTTTGTAAGCAGAGCTGCAGAAGTGCTCGCTGCTTTTCCTTTTTTTCTTTTGGTCCCAAATGCACGACCTTCGTGATCAACCGATCATCCACAAATCCTCGGACCAATCAGCCTATCAATCAATCAATCAATCAAACAATCAATCAGGCCAAATAATCCTTCTGCGACAACATGCATCTTCCCCTTCTAGCATCTCACACCTTGATTTGCGCATGCTGAATCGATCCCCCATGCATCACCTTCGTTTGTCCAACACATAAATAACAGCTACCTCCAGCCAGTGCCGGATGATCAGGAGGAGCAGGAGGAGGAGGAAGTATCAGAGGAGCAGGAGAGGGGGAGAGGAGGAGGGGATAAGCTATCAAAGCAGGATGGGGCCGATGACAAGAGGGATGTCGAAGAAAAGGACTTGACGAGGAAGATGTGAAGGAGGAAGAGGTGGAGAGGGGGATGCTGAGGAGGATTGCATATGACCAACTACATGCATTCTCGCCGCCAATATGGAAGACTGTTAGGAGGAAGCTTAGCATGATTCCGTACAATATAGACAATAAATAGAGAGAGAGAGAGAGAGAGAGAGAGAGAGAGAGAGAGAGAGAGAGAGAGAGAGAGAGAGAGAGAGAAGAGAGATTCCGCAGCATGCACATGATTGGCAGGCGCCCGCGCGCGAGAGAGAGAGAGAGAAGAGAGATTCCGCAGCATGCACATGATTGGCAGGCGCCACAATAAACATTTCTCTCTCTCTCTCTCTCTCTCTCTCTCTCTCTCTCTCTCTCTCTCTCTCTCTCTCTCTCTCTCTGATTTGAAAGGAAGTTCGTGGACGTCTTCGACAAGCAGATCCTGTACGTGGGCGTATTTCCGCGCGGATGCACACTCACATGGGCAAGCACACGTTCACCACCGTTGTCGCCCGAACACAACTCATCCTCACGTTGATTGTATTGTTGACTGTATTTGTCCGGAAACACACGCTGTATACGTTCATTTTCAGGGTGCATTACGTTCGGCGGAAGACGGTAGTGCACATGCAGAGGCACGCTCGCACACGCTCAGACATGCATTTGATCGCACACGCTCAGACATGGATATGCTCGCACATGCAGCATGCACACTTGGCTACGGTAGTTGCACGTGCATGTGCATGTGCACCCGCTTGCACATGTATGTGGGCACGCTCAGACGTGCACACGCACAAACACAGGCTTGCACACGTGCACACACAGATACACCGGCTAGTTCAGGCGCACACACACTTACACAGGCTTGTTCACGTGCACAAGTCGATGCAGATGCACACACTCTCACGCACGTAACTCCATTGCAGAGAGCATTGTTATCGAGGGGCCAACCTCATCCGTCTTGCTCCGCAGCCGACCACTCCCCCGCTTTGGTCCGTCTGCTCTTCATCATCGCCTTGCTCCCAGCCATCGTTATCGTTGTCACGTGAACGGGCATATAGCCCCAACATTATCATTTTTAGACGTCGACTGTAAAACGTGAGAGGCCGTACTATAATGACAATAAAAAAAAGGCCTGAAAGGCCGTCCTGTCCAGATTTGACAGGTAATTGAATTGGTTGGGCTTCAAAGAATTAGCCTTCGAAAAAAAAAAAAAAAAAAAGAACTCATAGCGACGTTTATTTCCGATTTTTTCTCTCGATTCGTTCTCCCCCTCTCGCCCTCTTACGATAGGAGAAAGTTCCACTTACCCCGAGTATTAACCGCTTCTCGCCGTTGATCTCTTTCCAGCTTACGATCCAGAAGGAAGAATCGAGGCAAGTACGGCATCACCGCTACAGTACCTCCACGTGTTCTCAGACTGCGATGGCGTGAATATGACAAGTCATTAAAGAATCTGTAGACTTGGGAAAAAAAAAAAAAAAAAAAAAAAAAAAACCCGACCTAATCGGCGTGAATATGACAAGCTTTCAAGGAATTCGGAAGAAGAAAATGTCTGTTTATGAAACGATGTCCGTTGAATAATCAGCATGACGCCGCCACAGTTTCTGCCCACCACCGTGGGAGGCTGCAGCCAAAGAAAGAGGAAAAAGCGTTTCAGACCTAGAGCAGGGCTGAAACTCTGGGGCTACGCTACCCTGAATCGCCTGCGATCTCTCTCATAAGGCAACAATGAGGGAGAGGACAACCATGACGAAAGTAAGGAGAGGAAGAAAGGGAATGAGAAGAGAGAGAGGAGTGGCGGCCTCAGACGTCGGCTTGCGTCGGAACATACATGCAGTTGGGACCGGTTAATCTCCAGCTCGAAGAGCCGGCCGTCCGTAGATCCGACGTACAGGAACAGCCGACCTTCCAGCTCCTGAAGAGCCAGGCTTCCAATCTCGGTGGTCCCGTGGCTGTCGTAGCGCGCCACAAGCTCCGCGCTCCGTACCTTGCCGCATCTACTCCTCATCTTCACCCATATAAGCCCCGTCAAAGCCGGGTAACCAATGCCAGTTGTGATGAACAGATTACAACCGTCCGATGTCGCTGCCATACCTCTCAGTGCATCAGCCGGGAAATCGAAAAACGAAAAGCCGAAAGGACTAGTTTCTATGCCAACGTCCAGCACACGAGTGAGTTTGGACGTCAAGGGATCGACTCCAAACACCTCCATTGCAAGCTTACTTATAAGATATATGCACCTTCCGCTAGAGGTGACGCTGTGAGGGCTCAAATAAACATGGCTGTCATGCCGGTGCACGATGTGAAAAGGGTCCCCCACCCTATCACCACCGTCTGATTTAACCGAGTAACCAGATTCGTCCACGTCAGCAGACACTAGACGGACCCGGCTAATGCCGCTGCGGGAGAGTAAATCGGCAGGGTAGATGATGAAGTTCTCAATGGCGAAGAGTTTTGTCTTATTATGATTGAAAGCTATCCCATCAACCGAAGTCACGTCACCCCTCAGAGGCATGATTGACGATCGACTGCCGTTGATCGTTGACAGCGACGTAAGTACGGGCGGCCTTGGCGGCATTGATCGGCCGTCGTACCTGTCCGCGACCAAGACCAGGTGCGTGCCATTCTTGGCAATGTCCATGCCGTAGATTGTAGCCATGAACGACATGTTCTTGTCTTCCTGGTACACAATGGGCCACGAGACTCTCTCCCCGTCGGTACAGTCTACTGGCCACAAGTAGCTTAACACTGTCTCGTCTGCTATAGGCTTCAACCCCTGCCTCACGGGCAGCAGATCTGCCTGTCGCACTGACATCACTCTAAAGGTAATTCTCAGTTCGGAAGTCCACGCCGACCCATTCGTTTGTAAGTTATTTTGAAGACGATCGTTACTTCTGATGCAGCTCTGCTCGAAAATAGAGAAAAATCGCGTGCTGTTGGGGAGGAACACTATATTTCTATAAAACGATTGACACTCATAACTCCACCCTGAGGAGTAGTTGAATGGGGACGGGGTGGCATTGAAGGGCGCCTCGGGTGTGTGCACGAGCACGACCCTCGGCGTCCCAGCCGCGCCGTTGACGTCACGGGCAAACAAATCCTGCGTAAGAAGCGTGAAGGACGGCGATAGATCTTCTGAAGCGAGCGACCGGTCGTCGGTGGGACGCATTCCGGCGCCGGGCGAGTCCTCATGACCGTTGGAGTACGGAAGGGAATCGCCCATAGCCATTGCAGATGACGGGAAACGATGACCGTCTGGTATTGTCTGAGCGACGGCGACGAAGCCGATCATGCAACTGCAGAGTGTGGACAGGAAGAGCAGCCGCAATGTCCACTGTGCTATTGCACAGACAGATCCGTACAGCGTCCACCATCGACCAGAGGCCGCCATATCCGCCGACCTCGTTCTCGAACGGTCGAACCAGAACCGCTTATCTCGCTTCCGTTCGGTTTTCCAAAAGAAGCACACACACAAACTGTTTCCCCTAATTAAGAAAACAAATGCTGTGATCCTGGTTCGTTAATGATGCAGAACTCAAAATGAAGACAATGACTTCGCCGCTCAAGAAAGAAGAGAGCGAGAGAGAGAAAGGAGAGAAAGGAGAGACGACGACGACGACGAAGAAGAAGAAGAAGAAGAGGGAGTCGAATTTAGGCCAACGCCATTCCCCTGCTCATCTAGCCACCTCATCAACACCCTCTGATTGGCCGCCTCCTCTAATTCATCATACAACATGAATGAACGAACAAGGACTCAACGTCCGATGAATCTTCCACTGCTCCTCTGGAGAAAGTACCTCCTCCTCCCTATTCACCTCCCTTCCCAACGATAGCACTGCAACTTGATGGAGGACATCTCGCCAATGACGTCACATGCGTGAGTATGACAAACGAATGGAGTGCTTCAAGACACACGGGCCGCCGTTCCACTAGGCGGGCATAGTACAGAGATATAACCATGGGGTCTCTGTGTCACAGAATTTTGAGAAACCGAACATGGGCAATGGAGCCCCTAGAATGGCCCCACTAGCAGGGGATGCAGTGTATGGTCCATCCAGTGCGACACTGTGTGGCAGTGGCACGACAAGAACGAAAAGAAAAGGGAAGAGAAAAAGGAAAAGAAAAAGAGACCTCATGCTCAAAAATCACGGAGAAGTGATTCCTAACCATCAGATCACAAATGATCCAATGTAAAACCTTGGAAAAGTGCATTATTTTGGAAATCGTGGAAAGGGCACTTGGAAGATTCGGCGGATGAAACGACCGGACCCCATTAAAGAGGCTGGAAAAGGCCTGGAAAAGCGATTTCTTCCAGACGTTTCCAACTCGTGCGGTCATTGTGGACCAGCGAAGTCCGTTGGGGTGGTATGGGCCCCCACCATGTTCGACTCGGGAGGTGTGGGTGGCGTCGTGCTGGAACTTAAGGTGCCACCTACCGGACACTCCATGGACCCGGGTCGTGCAAGGAAGTTTTCCAGACTTTTCCAGCCCGCCCCCCTACCCAGTCCGTTTGCCACAAAATAGTGCCGTCAACTATGGAAAATGACACATTTCGGACCGAAACCACATGTGGAAACGTCGAAGTGCTACCTTCCAGGAACACACCGGTTTCGAAGCTGCGAAACGGGAATGAATCTTTGCGTCCAAGCGGGAAGGTTCATTCCTGTCATACACAGAGATAGATAGATAGATAGATAGATAGATAGATAGAGAGAGAGAGAGAGAGAGAGAGAGAGAGAGAGAGAGAGAGAGAGAGAGAGATGTCG